ATGGAAACATAGATAGTTCACCTTGTACCCTGTAGAGGTATCATAGATTTTTTTATGAGACTTACTGAGCTACACATAACATCTTAGGAAAAAAAATGAAGGATGAGTAAATCTGCAGCAACAAAATATGCACTGTCATCTTCCTTAACTAATGGTATTGAATTTGCCCCAAGGCTACCTATTTTCCTAAACTGGCATTTGAGAAGAGGCAGCAAGTCTAATTTGCTTCTCCACTTCCCAATCAGAACACGTCTTCGGCATCACCCTCCTTTTTTTTCCCCATCCTCTTGCTATCTCCAGTTGTACCATTTCTATATGCTTATCCCAAGACCAAACTGGTAGATACTGAACAAAGATTGAAGGTGATATGTCCTCAGTTCTTAACTTCTTGTCAGGCTGGAAGCTTCTAAAACAGAGCACAAGAGGGAATCAAAATCGGTACAGAAAATACCTGAATTTCTTTTCACATTCCCTAAAATTTCATGCTGTCAACAAATGAGATAATCTCCCCCTAGATGGAGTGCACTGTAGTGGATTTCCCAGCTATACTATCCTAAAGTTATTAAAAGCATGGACTTTGGAGACAGATGTTAGATTTTTACTTAATAGCTATGTGTATTTGGACAAGTAGGTTAGTCTGTTTAGACTTTAGTTTTGGCATCTGTGAAAGAGCACTTCCTTCAAAGAGGACTTATAAGGATTAAATGAAGTGATGCATGCAAAGTACTTGGAATTTTACCAGGACCATAATAAATTCTACACAGGCATTAGTCATTATTACCTCACCTAAGATTTCAATCCCCTTCCAACACTTCCAAGCAATAGCTGTTCATCACATCTTTGATTTTTTTTCCAGGAAGAGGGAATTCTTTCCCTTCCAAGGTGACCTATCTCATCTTCTCACTATTGGAATGTTGATCTTTCTATAATGAACCAAAATTTGTTTTTCTTATAGTTCCTGCTTGCGTGTCTGAGGTCTACCTTGAAGCCATATACAAGAATTTAATTGATATTTGAATACAGTTATTTTCTTTCATTTTCTGAGTTAAACCTCTTCCATTCTTGTCTTTATACACATACAACATAGATGAGTATTTAATAACTAGTTTATCGATAGTCTTAAAGAGAGGTAACCGAAAATATGTGTCAGAAAGTATGAGTAATCCATATTCCGTATTCCTAAGGTCTTATGATTTAGGGGATTTCTTTTGGCATTCCCATATTACACCTCAAGTAAAGCTCATCAGTTTTATATAACTGCTACTAAATTGTATCTCATCAACCATTTCTAGGCTTATGAAATTTTATTTCTGTTTTTCTTTTGTTTGTGAGATGGTGGTAGGTAAGGAAATAGTAACTAGACAACTTTAAAATAATTCTTATTAAATTTTATACTGGCATCAGACTATTCTTGAATTTGCTGAGGCATTTTCAGATTTCAATTCTATGAAACTCCATTTCGTTTTACATCACAAAGTCTCATTTTTTCTATTGATAGCCAAAAATACATAGCCTCATGTGTTGAGGAGGACAGAGAGCTAGGGAATCCAGGGTCCTACCAGTATTCCTATTCTCAAAAATAAGAGGCCTAGGGAATCAGCAGTTAGCGTAATGGCTATGTCACTGGACTCCCACATAGTCGACCGCGGTTCACGTCCCGGACCCGGTGGCTTAAAACTCACGCCGGGCGCGTGTGCGTGCGTGCCCAAGATCCCGAGAGGAGAATGGAGGAGAAGGGATTGCAGCGTGACCATCCCCCCTGGGGGGTGATTTCTCGCTTTCTGTCTCTATGTCTCTCTCTGTCTGTCTGGTGAGCGCACGCGCTCTACAGTGAAAAATCTCTCCAAAAAAAAAGTAAAATAAATAAGAGGCCTAAGTTACTTTGTAACTGCTCAGTCTGTGTACTTCACAGATTTATTTTTGAAGGCATATGCCACTATATGGTGTCTATCATCAAGACTATAAATAATCTATAATATTAAAAAATCAAATTAAGATTTTTTTTAGAAAAGTCTTATTTATAAAGCTATGGAAACAAGCAAAAAAAAAAAAACCTTCCAAATTTAGCTTAAAAGAAATCAGTTAATTTATTGAGAATATGAAAAGGGTATAAATTTTTAGACCATGATCTTCTTGCTTGTTCACTGTAGGCATCTCCCCATGAGAAGCTCTCTAGATCTAAGAGTTGACCCCTCCCCACATAGCACCTTGTAAGCATCCCTAATATTGTCTTTATCAATGAGCAGAGTTTTGGGTCTATGTCTTCCTAAAGACTATGAGCTCTTCAAGGGCAAGAAAAACATTTTTAATAACCCCTGTGCCTGGGATTGAGCCTAACACATAATATATAATACATATAAATAAATAATGGAGCTGAACAAGCACACCAGCTACATGTCCCCACTGACATAAGGCCAATTGTTCACTTAGGTTAGAACTTAAGTATAAAAAATTCTAAGTAACCAGGGTGTTTCATAACCTGCTCTACTCACCTCCACCAAATTGTTTTCATTCATTCACTCTGGCTGGAAATTCCATTAATTGAGGATACTTGTAATTCTACAACTAAGATATAAAATGCAATTATGCCCAACTAGAAAAGCAATACTTTGGCATAAATTTGTTAAACTGCAAATTAGTGCTTCTAGCTATTAGTACACAGTTGATAGTGGTTAGGATGGTCATGGAAAAACAGTATCTATCTTCCCTGTAGTTCTCAACTCTTTATTTGTAATGAGCTCTTTCATCTTAGTTTCAGCCCCGGTATGGCCATAGGTCAAAAAATTCCTGGGGCATCAGCAAACTAGCAAGTAGGGCCTAAAAATTTCACTGCTCCAAAAATCATGCCTGAAGCATGGATTCATCCTGCAGGTATTCATGTGATCATCTGAATCAAGTTTCTCAATAAAAATCCACCTTATGCAGCCTGACTGCCTAACCAGTTTGTTGGCCAGAGTCTCAAGCACCTGGGTCTTTCTTCTGAAAAGAGGAGTCTATCCTTGAATCCTAAAGAGTAATTAGGATTCTGGCCCTCTGCTTTCTCTAGGGAAGACTGCTTTCCAGGATTCTTAGGGAGGCCTTTCACCAAGAGCTGCCCCCCAAGGACCCTGCTGCCTCATGGTGTTGATGTCCTCACTCTTTGAATAGCAACCTGCTTGGCCATCATCTCTGCCTGAACCTGACTTCTACATCCCACCCTTCAACTTGGACTTGGAGTCCCTCATCCTCCTCCACCCTGGACATTGTATTCTGACTCTTGCCACTACTGACTTGGTGCAGTTTGTGCCTTCCTCCCTTCCTCCTCTGCAGACCACGAAAGGCAATAAAAATAAAAACTTGCGTCTGCCTTACATAGTTTTCCTAGAGACGGAACTGGTCAGTGGCATAGGTTATAAATTCCATGCACACTGACAGGACTTCTTCAAAAGAACATCTCTAACTATAGCTTCACTGTCGTGGCTTCAGAACCCTCTCTCAAGCAATGCCCCCAACAGGTTTAAGTCAGTATGTCCAGGACTACCAGTTCTTCAGGAGCCTGGGCATCAGCCAAGTTCAAATGCCAAAGTAAATAGAGGAGGGAAAGGCCACAGGATGGAGAGACCAACAAAAGGGCCATTTTCCAGTCAAGACAGGAGAACTGACTTTTTTAAAGCTGTGTTTTTAAAATCCTGCTCATTCAAAAATGTAAATTCTTGACAAGTTTTCCTTTCACAAGTGGCTATCTCACTTTTTTGTTGTTTTGTTTTGCTGTATTTACTGAGATGGCTTTATCATCTTATTGCATACAGAACATTTAGTATTTGATATTTCATCAGTGAGATAATTAAAAATAAATCACGTGGTACTGAAGAAATCTCATACTTCATTATATATTAGGTGAGTAAATGGAATGTTTTTAGTCATAAGCTTATTCAGCATTTTCAATACTTTTAAATGTATTTTTCTTATAGAATAATTGTATCATAAGTAGCAATAGTTCAGATTTATTTAACATATAACTTAAAAGAGGGCAGTGTTTTAAACTGGAAAAGAAACTAGACCGAGATTCATAAGTTCTTAAATCTAGTCCTTTTACTACCTGTGAAACTTAGAGTAAGGCTTCAAATTTCTCATCTGTAAAATGCAGGAGCTGAATTCTAAGGTCATTTTCCAGTTTAATAATTTGATACACTAAGGGTGTAATACAGTGAAAAAGGAAATGCATTTGGATTCAAAAACTCAGATTTTAATCTAAGCCCTGCTTCTAACTTACTTTGTGACATTAAACATTTACCCTTTGCTGTTTCCTCATCTGTAATATAAAGAAAATGAAATAGATAGTGTCTAAGGACATTCCCAGTTCTTACATGTTATAACAAAGAAAAATGTCTGTGGTGCATATGATGCCTTCCATTTGCATGTAATACTTGATGTTTTGCTCTAAGTAGCCTTAGAGAAATCCAGGCACTTGTAAAGCTTTCTGCAGTGTCCTGGAACGTAAACTTATCCGCAGGATAGCCAGCCTTACTTGTCAAAGCAGAGCAGCCTTCTTTGCTTCACCCCTCTTCTGAGTCACCTGAGGTCAGGCTCTGGGATCCAGCATAAATATTATTTCCAGGTCTCATCCAAGTGATTTCTGCATGCCATAAGACAAAAACAACCATACTCAAATTTGGTCCTTTGCTGGTTGTTTATAAATTCTACTGCCTAGGTTAAAAAGTGACTTCTCAAAGACTAAAACTTCATTTATCAAGTAAACTTATTTTTAAATTTTCTTACATGAAAATATGCTTAATTCCGAAATATTTTTGTGTTTATAACTTCTGGATTTTTGTTAAAATTCCTTAACTATTTAAGTAAAGTATCTGCTTCAAAAGGAAGTCAGAGCTACAGTCACGGGTGGTTTACAGAATATTTTCTGATAGCTTTGGTTCATTTCAATATCTTACCATGATTGGCTGTTGACAGCTACAAATAAGGAAGTCTTCGAGTCAGGGGATTTCTCAGTGGAAGTTCCCAGTTCAGTACAAGGGAGATCTCGGGACAGTTTGGGTGGCCTTGGTAGAGCCTGTGGAAAAAGCTTCCAGACTGTCTAACTGCCTATTCTATCCTTAAAGAGGAATAGTCTGTGAAGGAGGACATGTAACCTGGAGAAGAGGTAATCAAAATTTTAATAGTTGTTACCAATTCTCAACCTAGCAAGGTGGCCTGAACGTCTTAAGCTGAAGTGTTGCAGATTTGTTCCACGCTTGCTTTTGCTAAGTGAGTAATTTATGATATGATTCAGTAATGCCTTTGTATTCATTGTCATAATTGGAAATTTGGCCTTAAAACAATGAGGTCCTGAGTCAAGACTAAGAAATATTTCAAATATGGTGCTATTTTTACTTTCTTCCTAACTTATAATAGAATTTATGTTTCTACTTAAAATGATGTTTTAAGTTTATATCTATAATAGAAGTCTTCTTCAACGAGTGATTTTATAACCTGGTCTAAGACTGAAAGATATCCGGCCTAAATTAAGTTGCATGTAGTTTACTAGATTAAAAGTAAATTCATATTGTATGTATTCACACAAATTTTTTTATTTTAAAGTTTTACTGCAGCCTGATCTAGCTAGTCTATACAAATATTAACTAGAATTTAGTATTTTTCCATTTAAGAAACACATGATAATGAATATTTTAATACACTAGATATTAATCTTACAGATAACTCTGCATTATCTTAAAACATGTAGACTTACGCAATTGTCGTAACCTAGCCTTATTCTGTTACCAATTTTACTCTCACAATCAAAAATTAATTTTAAAAATTGTGTAGTATTTTCTTAAGAATAATCTTAGAAAAAGTTGACAGCTCAAAAAGATTACATACTAAGGAGCCATTACCACCATTGCTATTAATATATTAATAGAGAAGACCAGCAATTGGCATGGTTAAGGCACTGGACACTCCCACATGGCCAACAGTGGTTCAAGTCCCAGACCTGGTGGCTTGCTTTCTCACCTCTCTCTCTCTCTGGCCAAATTAAAATAAATGGATGAATAAATAAAATTAAATAAATAATTCTTTAAAGAATATGTGTGTGTATATATATATTTATAAATAGATGTCATTTATCAAGTGATTACAGGGAAATAGTAATAGAATCTTTCAGCTCATAAATGGCAGAGCTGGTACTAACATATATTGGGTCATCAGAAAGGTCATAAAAAAATAGAAAAATACATCTTGACTTTTTTTTTTTTTTTTTTTGTTGGTTTGGGTTTTGCTACAGGGCGCATGTGCTCACCAGAAAGACAGAGAGAGCCAGAGAGACAGAAAGCGAGAAATCACCCCTCCGGGGGGGATGGTAACGCCACAATCCCTTCTCCTCCATTCTCCTCTCGGGATCTGGGACACACATGCCCACGCACCAGTGTGAGTTTAAGCCACTGGGTCCGGGACATGAACCGTGGTCGACTACATGGGAGTTCAGCGACATAGCCATTACGCTAACTGCTGGTCCCATCTTGACTTTTTTGATGACCCAACAAATTAATATAAATTCTTTTTCTACTGCTTTCTGTTACCAGAGTCTATTTATTATCATATTAATTAATTAATTTGGGGTGATGTCTTATCTAAACTGTAATATGATGGGGGAAAAGTAAGATGTCTAGGCTAAGGTCACAGAGCAGCCAAATCTTTCTTAGAAACTAGGTCTTCCTTCTTACCCATCCAGTCTTGTCTCCTCCTGGACACACTTCCATGTGTGCATAGGTGGACACACTGGTCTGCCTCTGTGCTGTCAGTTTCAGAGCCAGGGAAGTACTTAAGACATAGTACACTGGTCCAGCCTGCCTGAAGTTTCTGCCCAATAGCCAGTCAGGGTCTGTAGAGCAATATCTAGTTATTTCCCTTCAACACTTGTGACCATGAAAGAGATGGCTAACTGAATGATTCAGAATAAATCTGTGAATAAATCCTTTGAAAAAATTCTGGTTAGAATTTCAGGTAACTATTTGAGAAAAATTATTATCCTTATAGTACAGTACCTTCTTGTCTGTGAACATCCTATGTCTCTCCAAGCAGTAAAGACCCCAGTAAACACAATGTTTCTTTGTTTATTACAGAATATATTGCAATATTTTTGGTTTTGTTTTCTTGTGTGTGTAATAGCATTGCTTTCCTAATAGGGACATTCTTTCCACTATGTTTTCTAAATAATATTGCTGGTATCTTGATTTCATCGTTTTATCTCTTGTCAAGACATTTTACTGATCCCTTATTTGTTCTAAATTACTTAAGATAATTCATATGTGGTACCTTGATCGAAAAAAAAACAACAAACAATTATGTCTGTTTCTTTTTTTCTTCTCATCATATTGGCTATGATTTCTAGAACAGTGTTTAATAACAGAAAAGACAGTAGTCAACCTTGTCTTGTTTCTGATCTCAGTAGGAATTTCCCTGGTGGTTAACTTTAAGAATGACGTTAACTGTTGGTTTGAGATAAATACATTTATCATAAAAAACAAATAACTACCAAATATCCTAGTTTACTAAGGGTGTATTGAAGGAAGGAAAAAATATTTCATGTTAAATTATATTCTGTTTCTTCTTGCTATCAACAAGAAGCTATATGGTTTTTCTATTTCAACCTATAGAGTGCTCTGTTGTCATACAATATAGTAATTACATTTTTAAAATATTTCATGCTATCAAAAGTCATGTCATTAATATGACTGTGTCAGTAATAAAGGTAGGTTTACAGCTATAAACTATATTTTGTTACTGATCTTATTAAAATAATACATTGATTCATCAAAACGAACTAAGCCAAACCTACACATTTCCTTTTTCTCTTCAATTCACGTGCTTAGATACTTCTGTTCTGTTATTTTGGCTTCACAATTTCATTCACAACTGAAACTAACAGAAAAGAACAAAAACAGTGTGGCATGAGCCAAAGAACTTTATCCAAGCAGAGCAACCAGATACTCAAACAAAACAACTGTTCCTATGCTTTGTGGAAAAAAATTTCTTCAAATTGTGACATGGCTACCTGAAGACCACGATTCAGTTACAACAAACAGTGGCATTAAATGCATGTCCAAATGGATTAATCTTAATCCAGTTTATTGGAAGAAAATATATGCTTTAAAAAATGTTTGTTATTTACTGAAAATTTTTGCATTAATATTCATAAGTGGAATTAACCTATATTTTTTATTTTCTGGAACCTATTAATTGATAGGTTTTAAATTAAAGTTAGGCTGGTTTCATAAAGTAAAATTATTAAAAAAATCTAAATGTTCCATGTTCTAAAACAAATTAAATGCAAATTGTCTGTTTCTTGACATGTTTAAAAAACAAATCTGTGATGGTGATTGGTTGGCCTTGGCATTCCTTTTTATAAAAGTAATTCTTTTTAAATTTTTGATGTCTTCTATTGTTATTGATCTATGTGGGTTTTATACTATTCTCCACACAGTTTACTTGTTTTTGTTTAAAATTACTCTTTTTAATCAAACTTTTCAAATGTACTGGTATAAGCTGTATTCTCTTGCACTTTAAAAAAAAATAATCTCTATGGGGACCAGCAGGTGGCAAGGTGGTGAAGGCACTGGACACTCCCACATGGTCAACCACGGTTCAAGTCCCAGACCTGGTGGCTTGCTTTCCCTCTTTAACACTCTCTCTCTCTTCTGTGTGTGTGTGTGTGTCTTCGGTCAAATTAAAATAAAATGAATGAATACATAAATAATTCTTTAAAAAATCATCTCTGTAACTATGTATATAATCATTTTTCAGTACTCATTCTGTCCATTTATGTTTTTACTTTTTTTCCTAGTTATTTTTTAATAACTAGTTTTCACTTTTATCTTCATTAATATTTTCTTATTGCCTTTTAAAAACTATTTTACATTTACTTTTCTCAGTTTGTGAGTTAAATGCTTAGCTCATTTTTTTGTTTCATTTTGTTTTATAATAAAAAGATTTAGGGCTAGAATATGTTTAGTACCATTTTAACTAACAACGTCTGATATGTCATTTTCATATTATCATTATTTCATAGCTTTCAATTGCAATTTTATTTCCTTTTTGATCAAAGAGTTATTTAGATCAGTAAAGGTTTTACTTTCAGTTAATAGTCTTTATTTTTTAGAACAGTTTCAGACTTAGGAAATAATTAAGCAAACACTACAAAGAAATCCCATCTATCACTCTGCCTCCCCCCAAAACTCAAAATGTCCTCTATCATTAACATCTTGCATTAGTATGGTACATTTTTTATAATTAATAAACAGTATTAATAAATTAACACAAACTCATAGTTCATTTAACTTCTTTGCTTTCTCCCCTTTTTAAAAATTGAGGTAAAATTTGGGACCAGCAGTTGGCGTAATGGCTATATCGCTGAACTCCCATGTAGTCAACCACGGTTCGAGTACCGGACCCCGTGACTTAAACTCATGCAGGTCATATGTGCGTGCATGCCCAAGATCCCGAGAGGAGAATGGAGAAGAGATTGAGGCATGGTCATCCCCCCAGGGGGGTGATTTCTTGCTTTCTGTCTCTCTGTGTCTTTCTGGTGAGTGCATGCGCCCTATAGCAAAAACCTCTCCAAAAAAAAAAAAAAGAAAAAGAAATTGAGGTAAAATTCATATAGCAGGCATTTAGTGCACTGATAAGGTTGTACAACCACTACCTCTATCTGCTTCCAAAGCATTTTTATTATCCCAAAAGGAAACACTATACCATTAAGCAGTTGTTCTCCATTTCCTGCTCTCCTCAAACCCTGGCAATCACCAACCTACTATCTCTACAAATATACCTGTTCTAGTTATTTCATAAAAGTAAAATCATATAATACATGACTAGCTTGCCTCGCTCAGAATAGTGTTTTTGAGGTTCATCCATGTTGTAGCATATATCCGTACCTCATTCCCTTTTATTGCTGAATAATATTCTATTATATGAATATACCACAATTTGTTTATCCATCCATTCATTGATGGATAGGGTATTTGGTCTTTTTTCACTTTTTGACTATAGTAATTAATGTTGCTATAAACTTTCATTTACATGTATTTTTCCATGTACTTGTTTTCAATCTTTTTGGGGTATATACACAGAGTAGAATTGCGTGGTCATATGGTTATTCTTTTTAAAATATGTAGGAATTGCCAAATTGTTTTCCTCAGTGGCTGACCCATTTTACATTCTCTATGTTGTAATGTATAGGTTTCCAATTTCTCCACATCCTTGCCAAA